CCACTGAGGGCCATGAAGGGCTGGACCTCGGTACATGTAGAGAGCCCTGTGTCCCACTGTCCCAGCCAGTGGTCAAGTGGGAGCCTCCTGCAAGGTGGTTTGGGGCAGCAAGCCAGGAGCAGCCTTGGAGATGGACAGCAGGAGAGAGACTGCCCCGTGACAGGGCCAGGGCAAGGGAGGAGCGCCGCCACCAAACAGCCTGCACTGGGCCTCCTAAAAAGGGGTCCTGGGCTCCGCTGAGTGCCCAGCACCTCTTCCTGCAGTTCCATCGTTCAGCCAGATGTCTCATTCCCCTCCTTCTCGTGAAACCTTTTCTTCCACATGGCCACTCCCTGGCTGGCTGGTCCTGCCCTCCCAGGACCTGAGCTGTCATCCTAGATGGCTCACCATTTCTTCCCCTCTGTCACCTGAGGATAAGGGGGAGGGAGAAACAGGGGGCGGGGGAGGGTTACCAAGGGATTGGAGGAAATGGTTTGCAGGTGATGGTATGTTCCTTATTGTGAATGTTGTGATGGTTGCACAGGTAAAGACGTGTGTCAGAATTCATCAAATAATGCACTTTAAGCAAATGCAGCTTATTGTACATCAAGTACATATCAATTAAGCTATAAACAAAAACTGCTGGCCAGATATATATATCCTTTTAATCTCACTAATCTTCTCTAAGGACATCGTTAGAATGGAGAGAGAGAGAGATGGAGAGAAACATCAGTGTGAGAGAAACATCCATCGGTTGCCTTCCAGATGTGCCCCAATTGGGGATTGAACCTGCAACTCAGGTATGCGCTCTGAACTGGGAATCGAACCAGCAACCTTTCAGTGTACAGGACGATGGTCAACCACCTGAGCCACTCTGGTCAGGCACCAGCCAAATATTTTTCTTTTACAATTTTGGAAACAAGATTCACATTTTGTAAAGAGAAGTCAATTATAGATTTAGATCACACTCTCCCCCTGTAGCCTCCAGCAGTTGAGAGCACAAATCCACACTCGTGTTTACTGATATTTTATTCAGTGGGATAGGCCTTTTTTCTCACCTTCAAATTTAGTAAAGTAGGTTTCTTAGAGTAAAAATAAAATGAGCTTGAAAGGCACCATATAGTTCCTCGTGACTCAGTTAAAGTTTGGATGCTTTTCCTGTTTTGCCATTTCACTCTGAAGCTGCTGGCTTCTGCTCCCATCCTCCTGTGGAGAGACAGGTGCCTCTAACCCCTGCTGCCCAGAGCGCTTCGCAGCCCACGTTTTGCACCCGCCTTCTCTCTCCTGCAGCCAAAATCACAACTGGGGGAACTGCACTGGGGGCAGTGAGAATTTTGTATGTGGATTCAGAACTTCCTTTTTTAAAATATATTTTATTGATTTTTTACAGAGAGGAAGAGGAATAGAGAATCAGAAACATGAATGGGAGAGAAACATTGATCTGCTGCCTCCTGCATATTCCCTACTAGATATGTGCTCGCAACAAAGGTACATGCCCTTGACCTGAATCCAACCTGGGACCTTTCAGTCCGCAGGCCTACACTCTATCCAGGGCCTACACATTGGTCCTTTTAAATATATATATATATATATATATATATATATATATATATATATATATATATATATAAATTGATTTTTTACAGAGAGGAAGAGAGAGTTAGAAACATCGATGAGAGAGAAACATCGATCAGCTGCCTCTTGTGCACCCCACTGGGGATGTGCCCACAACCAAGGCACATGCCCTTGACTGGTGCTCACCAGCCTCACCATCCAATGAGTGATGGCTGCTGGACATGCTTGTGACCCACGAGCTCCCATTGGTCATCCCATACCTACAGGATGACAGCCTGGACTGGTAGACTAAGCCAGAGGCTGATTTCTCATAACCAAACTGACCAGCATGTGCAGGGGATGGAGTGTGGAGACAGACTTTGCTGTATGTACCTGTGATGATTAATTTTATGTCTCAACTTGACTGCACTAAGGGATACCCAGATAGCTGGGTGTCTCTAGAAGAGATTAGCACAGTAGACTGAAGATTCACCCTCACCAATGTGGGTGGCATCACCTAATCCAGTCCACTGATGGCAAAATTCTCTTCTCCTGTTGGCCATCAGAGCTCCAAGTTCTTAGGCTTTTGACTCTGACCGAATTACACCATTGGCTCTCCTGAGTCTCCAGCTTGTAAATCATGGGATTTCTTGACCTCCTATTTAATCCTATAAATTCCATCTATCTATCTATCTATCTATCTATCTATCTATCTATCTACATTCTATTGGTTCTGTTTCTGGAGCACCTTAATACAGTAATAACAGGTTTACCCCTGGAACCTGCACCTCAATAGTGCATCCCAACCTTCAAAAGCAGCAGAACCTAGTCATCATTGGTGGGACACCCCCCCATCAGGCCATCCCCAGGGCCTACTCCCCAGGAAGGACAGCAGGTCCAAGCTCGCTGGCATATGGAGAGAGTCCTCAGGATTGCCTCTGCCTCTCACTGGCCAGGTCTCCCCAGCAACTGCTCACTCTTTTGTCTTGTCCCCCCAGCAATATCATAAGGATCCTTCTGTCTTTTTCTGTTTGTTTGTTTGTTTGAATATATTTTTATTGATTTCAGAGAGGGAGAGGAGAGATAGAATCAACAATGAGAGAGAATCATTGATCGGCTGCCTTCTGCACACCCCCTACTGGGGATAGAACCCACAACTCAGGAATGTGCCCTTCACCAGAATCAAACCTGGGACCCTTTGGTCCATAGGCCCACGTTCTATCCACTAAGATAAACCAGCAGGGGCCCATTCTGTCTTGCTGGTGAACTTGATGCACCACATTTTGGTCTCCCTGACAACAGGAAGCATCTTTAAATAGCAAAAGGTGCTCCCTCGGCCAGGTGGCCTTCCAGCTGGGATGGTCATGGTTTTCCTGCCACTCCCTTGCACATGTTGAGGAGAGGTGGTCTCTTTTCATAGAATGGAGGGACTTGAACAAGGGACAAGTGGGCATGGTTCTCTGGGGCAGAGAGCTCACACTCAGCCCCCTAATGGCAGTAGGAGCAGACCAAGAGCAAATGAGCACCATGCAGGGTCTTCGGGCATTAGATAGGAAGCATTTTCTAAACTCTTCACAGGAAAAAGATAGGAAACATATCTCTACCTCTCAACGACCGGATCAATCTTCCTTTTCCTTCTAAAAGTTTTGCAAAGTCCAATGAATAGATGTTTTACAATAAAAAAAATATTATTCTTTAAGGAAATGAATTTTCTGGCAAAGCTCTAGGACCTGTGCTTATACAAGTGGGTGATACCAACAAGGAAGGATGGAACCGTGTGTGCCCAACCAGAAAGCTGACCTATAGTTTTGAGGGGCTCAAATCTTGAGGCATCCAACTGTCTCCAGGAAGGATGGTGAGGAGTCATCGCAGAAGCCTGCTCCAAACTCAGCTTCACAGGGTGACTCCTATGTTATGCCTTCACATACACCCCTGTCCCCCCCCCCCCCCAGACAGGACAGGAAACAGGCAGGACACCAGCCCAGGCTGGGACTAGGCAGGGCAGGATAGCCCCTAACCCTAGGTCAGGGGGTGAGGGGTATATCCCAGCAACTGGTCTGCATCTCCACTCTTGAGGGAGCTGAAATGCCAGTCACCCAGATATCTGTGTGGTGTGGACAGATATCTGTGTGGTGTGGGCAGGTCAGCAGGCTGGCCTCACTGCCTGGTCACGCTTGCCATGCACAGGAGATGGGCCATGGGAACACAGAATGGCTCTCGAAGGAGGGGTTAATCTCTGTTTCAGCTGCTCTGCCACGGTGGTTGGTTTGGAGCTCCCAGCTGGATGAGAGGCAGGTCCCAGGAATCCAAGAGTGGGTGGACTGTCTTGCCTTCAGAATGCCTTCTTCGCTTCAGCCGTCCAGCTCCTGTCAGAAATGCCAGCAGACACCAAGGTCACAGAGGACCGAAGTGCACCAGGCCCATCTCCTGCACAGCCTGGGAAGCTGTATAGCCATCTGGGCAGCACCCGCAAGTGGCCAGGAGGCGGCAGCGGGCAGCTAAGCCTTGTGTATCCCCTGGGGGGCAGACACCAGCAGTCCCCTCTGTCCTCCTCCAGAACTCCCTAGATGAGTTCTTCTCAGCCCAGTAGATGGTTTACCAGCCAATAGTGCCCCTTATCCCCCACCTCCAGCTGCATGGTCACTCATGGGCACTCAGAACATGTCTGATGGCAGCCAAAGCACAGAGGGCCTCAGAAGAGGGGCTTCTCAACGTCACTTGTGCCCACAAACCCGTCTCTAAGAAAGACGGTGGGGGGGTCACCGCAGAAGCCTGCTCCAAACTTGGTTTCGCAGTGTGTCTAAACTATAAACTCCTTCACCAAATACACCCCGTCAGATGGGACAGGAAACAGCCGAAGTCTAGAACATTCTACCACCACCCTGGGATGGTGACCGAGGAGGTTTGGCGAGCATAGATGTTCAGAGGCATGGATAGGGCTTCAGCCTTCCTCAGAGGAAGCTGCTGCTCAGAGAACAGGATAAGCAGGCCTCATGGACCAGTCACACCACTGGGACTGCGGAGAGGAGGGAAGCAGAGAGCAATGGCTTCCGTGCATGAGCTCAGACAGCCCTCAGGCCTCCAGAGAAGGTCATCGGGGGAGGTCCCAGAGAGAGAGAGAGAGAGAGAGAGAGAGAGAGAGAGAGCGAGCGCGCATTCCTGTCTGCCAGGCAAGCCATGCCCACCCTGGTTCGCAGGAAGGCCCTGAGATCTGGGTAGAACTTCATTGGGCCGGGCCTCCTCCAATGCCACCCAAGAAGACCCCCCACCCCAGCTTGAACTACATCTGGCCTGGTCTGTTGGAGTAGTGGAAGCCCCAACACGCCCAAGAACATGTCTAGAAATATGCCCAAGGAATTTAGTGAAAACGAATCAGGGCCCAAACAGTGACCGAAAGGCCACAGGGTGGGTCCCAGGAAAGGGCCATGAACACAAATAACACCCCGAAGGAGGGAGTGGCACATCACCTAGAGTTTAGCGGAGAAGGATGCAAAATCCGCCAGCAACTTCATGTCATTAGGGAGCGTCAGCCATGCCCCGCCGTCAACCACCAGCAATGCCCCCGTCACGTAGGAGGCCAACGGGCTGGCCAGGTAGAGCACGCTGTGGGCGATCTCCGTCTTGTTCCCCAGCCTCTGGAGGGGGGTGCCGGGCAGGGCCTTGCTGAAGTGGGGACCACCTGGAGGGTCAAACCCTGTGAGCTACAGGACCTCAAGGTCCTCCACCCTCCCCGGCCCAGCCTTCTGTAAACCACACCCAGGAATGGTGCGGGCACTATTAGCGCCTCCCTCGACAGAGCAGGAGCAGGCCAGGCTCTGAGGAACACTGCCAAAGAACCAGCATTGGGCTTTTTGATGGACACCCTGCCGAGGTTCTGGAACCTTCAATAAAAGCCCCACTTTGGTTCTGACTCAAACATCAAGGCCAGTAGCCCTGTGGCCTCTACCTCAAGGGAGCCGCTTCCCAAGTCTGGTTAATCCTTATCCATTGTAGCTGTGTGCGGAGGGCTCCTTGCCAGCCCCAAGGAGCCATGAACATTTGGCACTCGTCCCAGCCAGGTGAGAGGGGAGCCAGGGAGGCACTGTGGAGCCTGTAGCTAGGGGAGCACCCAAGAGGCCCTGGGCTTCTGAGAGCCTTACCTAGCCGCCGGAGCCCCTCCGTGCCACTGATAGGGCCGGGGGCAAGGCTGTTGACTCGGATGTTCTGGGGACCCCACTCCACAGCCAAGTGCCGCGTCATTGCATCTGCATGGAAGGAAGGCAGGCAGGCGTGAGGGGGAATGCAGGGCTGCTTTGACTTCTGGGGTGGCCTGGGTTGAAGTGGGGACTCAGGGCCAGGCAGGAGAGGGACCCTAAGGCACCCAGGAGAGCAGACCAGATGGGGTGCCATACCCACGGCCGCCTTGGCAGAGCCTGCGTGCACTTGAAGCACCTGCCCCCTGGTACCCAGGGTTGCGGTGATGTTCACGATTACTCCTCCATGCTCCTGTAATACATGGCGGAGACCAGGGTGGGGGTTGAGGGTCAGGGGGGCGCGTGTCAGCAAGCCGACCACCAGGGACGTCCCAACCAGAGAATACTCACCCGGAAGAACTTCTTGTAGAGCACGTGAGACACGTTGAATGTGCCCAAGGTATCGATGTCCATCACAGTCTTGAAGGCATTGAAGGACAACGAGCTGGCCGGGCACAGGAAGTTCCCGGCTGCACCTGCAGGATGGAAGGAGACACGGATGGTGCGGGAGCCCTGGGCAGTTAGAGCATACAGACTTCAGGATGGCACAAGCTGGACAGGGAAGGAGGCTTGAGATTGCCTCTGACTCTCATTCAGTCAAGTTCACACTGAAATGACTTGGCAGGGACAGAGTTGGCCAAGAGAGTGGCCTGGAACCCAGGATAAAAGTTCTGGGACCTCCAAGAAGGAAGGTCTAGTATTGCTGACTCCGCAGAAAACCCCTGGCCTAGCTTAACAGTGACTCACAGTTTATGAGAATGTCGATTTTTCCAAACTCCTTCAGTGCCTGGTCCACGGCAGCCATGATGGCTGGGGGATCTCTGACGTCCAAGGATAGAGGGAGGCAACGCTGGCCAGTGGCTGCAGCCAGCTTTCTGGCAGCCTAGAAGCCAGACGGGAAGGGAGAGAAGAGGTGGGCAAGGGCCATGTGACTCAGCCTAGAGAGAACAGCCCTTCACAATCCAAGGAGGATGTGTCCAGGTTCTGCTGGGAAGCCAGGGTTTGTTGTGGACTCCGCTCTTGAGAGATGCAGCTGGCAGGTAGCCATTCCCTGGGTCCACAACCCCGAGTGGACATTTCTCAGAGATACAACACTCTTCCCTCCACATCACCTTCCAGGCCACTTGGTCATGGGTCAGTAGCAGCTCTTCCCGACTTCCTGCCCGGAGTCCCACTGTGGCAGGAGTGGGACTTTCCTTCTGGGTGGGTAGGACATGTGGACTGCTATCATAACCCAGTTGAGCTGAGATCTCTCTTAGCATCGGTACCATTCAATATGAGGGTCCCTCACAGAATCCCGTAATTGAACACTTTTAAAAGCCAGGTGTTGCCGAAACTGGTTTGGCTCAGTGGTAGAGCGTCGGTCAGCGTACTGAAAGGTCCTGGGTTCGATTCCGGTCAAGGGCATGTACCTTGGTTGCAGGCACATCCCCAGTAGAGGGTGTGCATGAGGCAGCTGATCAATGTTTCTCTCTCATTGACGTTTCTAGCTCTCTATCTCTCTCCCTTCCTCTCTGTAAAATATCAATAAAATATATATTTTTTAAAAATTATTAAAAAAAAAAAAAAAAAAGCCAGGTGTTTTCCTGGGAGACAACCTCCACCGAAGCTTGATATTTGGAAGAGCAGCAGCTTTTGGAGTCAACATCCTCCGGGCCTCAGGACCCTCCAGGTCTAGGCTCTGGGTCTCCACAGCCACCCATGAATGGGACAGGCATAGTAGAGACACCTTACCATCGATACTCTCGGAAAACTTCTGCTGGCAATGACCGTGTGGCAGCCGTGCCTGCAAAGCCAGAGGGCAGGAGTGAGGGTGGCAAGGTGCCAAGAGGTAAACCTAGATAGGCTCTTGCCCAGAGCTCTAAGCAGAGCCCCCATCCCTCCAGGGTCTCTGGGGCTGAAACACCAGCCCGATGTGGAAGGTACAGCTGTCAGAGGACACAGGGGGCTGAACACAGCTAAGCCACTGTGGTGGGACTTCCGGTGGCTGCCTTAGTCCCACTCCCAGCATTTCTGGGCCGGCCTCTCTGGCATCAGGATACAGGCCCTGCCCCAAACTCCGTGTGCACAGCACCAAAGCCGCTGTGGACATCAAACGAGGGCCCACGCATTGGCTTGAGGCCTTCTGGGTCCCACTGGCATGGCCCCACGTGCCAGTCCTCTCTCCCTCCCTGTGATGCTGGAGAGGAGGACAGAGCCCATTCTGAGGTCAGGATACGTGCCCTGGTCACCTCCTCACAACCTGAGCCTCACAGTGTTCGTGGTAACAATAGCAGCTATCACCTTCTAAGCCGGTTCTACCTACTCCTCAAAATAACCCTGACCAGCTAGCCATCCTCTGTTCAGAGAAGCAAAGAGCCCAAAGCCACCAGTTTGGCAAAAAGTTCACCTAGAACGAATGAACCCCAAAATCTTGTCCAGTGGGACTCAGTTCTCTGGTAGGAAAAGTGAGGTTCCCTAGGATATCAACAGGCTCCCTCCCCCCCCTAACCCCAGCCTGCCTCTGGGCCTTTCCCAGGTCAGGATGATAAATATTTGACTTGGACCTAAGGCCATAGAACTTGTGTCCCAAGAGACACTGTGACCGAAACCGGTTTGGCTCAGTGGATAGAGTGTCGGCTTGCGGACTAGAAGGTCCCTGATTCTGGTCAGGGGCGTGTACATTGGTTGTAGGCACATCCCCAGTGGGGGGTGTGCAGGAGGCAGCTGATCGATGATTCTCTCTCTTCCAGGTTTCTATTAATAACTCTCTATTCCTCTCTCTTCCTCTCTGTGAAAAAATCAATAAAATATGTTAAAAGAGAGAGAGAAGCTGTGTTCCACATGCAACCGGGCTCTCCATGACTCTGGCTCAGCCAGGCCCCTGGCGCTATGCAATAGAGTTTCCACAAGCTGCTGAACCTCCCTCTTTGTATAAATGAGGGTACTAGACCAGAGCTACACAGTCTCCACTAAGGTCTAGGAGAGGGCCCTGGAGTCCTGCCTCCCTAGACAGCACTTGACCTCTTTAAGATGTTCTTAAACGGCTCATTGCCCAGAGAGGGTCCCACCACACCCACCAGCCTCTTGCCCGGGAATCCCAGGATCCAGCGGGAAGGGAAGGTGTGAGGAAGCGGGAGAGTCCGCAGTGGAGATGGGGTGGTGGGCACAGAACAAACAGAGTGCTCACCTCATAAAAATCTCAGCAATCCGGAATCCGATCCCGGAGCCACCGCCTGTGATGAAGGCGACTTTGTCCCTGGGGGAGGAAAACACGAGGCTTTTTGAGGGGTGGGGGCAGCGGGGAGAGGTCAATGGGGGAAAAGGAGACTTATGTAATACTTTAAACAAGAATTAAACAACACAGGGCTTTTTAAAGATATCCCCATTAACTGGGGAGTGGGAGAAGACTGTGGCTCTGAGAGGACTCTGACCCTGTGAACTGGGCATTTCTAGCAAATTCAGACTGATACCAAATAACTTTTGTCATTAAGTAAAACGCTAACGCCTGCGTGGCTAGGCTTTCTGGGTCTTTGGGAAATCCTATTTCGGCCTAAAATTCTCTATTCATAAAGTTGTGAGCGTTTTCAAAACATACAAGCCGTCCTCGCTGCCCCTCACCTCCACCCTCCCAGAATTGCCATCAGCAATGCCCACCAGCAGCGGCCAGGCCACACAGAAGGCGCCCTCCAGTGCAAAGATCAAAGTTCCAGGGCCCTTGGACGCCCGAACCCCAGGTCCTACTCCCCAGGCGCCTCCAGCTCCTGGCCGGGTCCCGGCGTCCCCAGGGCCTGACCCCGCTCCCGCCCGCAGGCCCGGCCAGGCCCTCACCGGAGCAGGTCGGGGCAGAAGAGGTGGCGGTACTCCGGAAGGCAGTCATCCTCGCCGACATCGGGCGGCGGCTGGGCCATGGCGCTGGGCACAGCAGGACCTGCTACGGATCAGAGCGCCGGCTGCCACCCCCGGGACCAGCGGCGCTGTGGCACCGTCACCTCTGAGCACCCGTAGAGTCCGGGGAACGAGGTCCCGCCCATCGCCGCCGCCCCGCCCGCTGGCACCCCCGCTCCGCCCAGGACGCCCGGCCGTGGGAGCCTCCGCGCCCTCCTCCGGGCGCCCGTCCTGCACCGCGGCCCCGCGCTCCTCCCTGGACCACCGCCTCCTCCGCCGCCAGCTCTGTCCACAGCTGCCCCCCAGCGTCCTCCAGGACAGGTCGCGCCCTGTGGCCACACGGCCTGCAGGGAACGGGGGTGGCTGGTCTGCCCCAGAGCCGCGGCAGGCGCAAGCGCAGAGCTGCAGGCGGATTTCTGTGGCTGAGGCCAGGTGAGTGGGCCTCCGACTTGTCCACAAGACTAAGTCCTCTCCGCAAGACTGGGTGTGAGCACCGTGGTGGGAGCCAGCTGGATGCCGCGGACACTCCTTCCAGGGTTAAGGTCAGGCCGGCCCAGCTGTGCATGTAAAACAGCTGGTTGGGAAGCGCTCAGCATGTAAATGCCCTTGCCCACCCTGTGGCATAAATATCAAAGAGAAGAGGAGGGAAGGGGACTCCAGCCAAGAAAAAGCCATGGAAAGGCTTTGCTCCACTTGTCCAGTCCCAGGGCCAATTCCTAAAATGACCCTGGCACCGTTTCTAGGGCGATAAATGTCAGGGCAAGGACCAGGCCATCCTTCACCAAGAAGGGGAAAAAAAGCCCGGCCAGGGTGGTTCAGTGGTTGGGCATCAACCCATGGACCAAGAGGCTGCTAGTTAGATTCCAGGTCAGGGTTCGATCCTCAATAGGGGGCATGCAGAGAAGACAGCCCATCAATGTTGATGTTTCTTTTTTTTTTTTTTTTTTTAATATTTTATTGATTTTTTACAGAGAGGAAGAGAAAGGGATAGACAGAAACATCAATGAGAGAGAATCATCAATCAGCTGCCTCCTGCACCACCACCCCAAGGCACATGCCCCCCACCGGAATCGAACCCGGGACCCTTCAGTCCGCAGGCTGACGCTCCATCCACTGAGCCAAGGGTTTCGGCGATGTTTCTTATTGATGTTTCTATCTCTCTATCCCTCTCCTTTCCCCTATCTAAAAAAAATAACCTTTAAAAAAAAAAAACTTTAAGAAGGAAAAAAATACCAAATGAGGATCAAGTCAGCCTTAGCAGATGTAATGATGTGTGCTGTGTAGTGTCCAGTACTTGTCAAGAGTGAGTAGGGACACTTGGGAACTAGGGGGTGAGATGCAGTGTCAACAAGTAAACACCAAGCAGCCTCAGCCACATGAAGTCAGGAAGAGGGGAGGAGGTGAGAGTCACCAAGCTTTCTGCCCTGAGGGTGGTCTTAGCCACCACCTCCCAGCCACCAGTTCCTGCCACCCTCCAGTCCTGTTCGAGGCAGGAAGCTCCTCCTTCAACGGAATCAGAATGGTGTTGGGTCAGCACCAGCTTCAGGGCCCAGCTTGGATTCCCCCAAATTTCAGGTCGGAGGTCTCTGGATCTCTGCCTGAGTCATACATTCCACTGACCCCCTACTGGTTTATACAACCTTGCTTCAAGGCCTCATTAGTACCTAGCTACCCACCGACATAAAGAGTGCTCCACCCCCATGCACAGCACAAGGACTTTTAATGTCTCCCCTGTGGGGGAGGGAAGGTCAAACCACTTTTGGAGACCACCCCAAAGGTGGGTCTGGCAATTTGGTATGGAAAGGATTTGGTTCAATCTCTTGCTGGTTTAAGATACCAAAAGGCACATAAAGGTGGCTAGTCTGCTCTGGGCCGAGGCAGAAGGTGAACAGGGAAGTGGTCTGGGGCGGATGGGCAGAGCACAGTGTGGGCTGGAGTTCTTGTGGGCAGAGGTAGTTGGTCCTGGGTGGATGCTGGGGGCAGCCTAGGGCAGCCTGAGGCTCAGGCTGTGTAGAGGCTGCTCCGGTGGCCTTCGTCTGCCCAGTCAACCAGCTCATTGCTCTGGAACCACAGCTGGATCTCCCGCTGGGCCCCCTCCACGGAGTCGCTGGCATGGATGACGTTCCTGTGCCAGGTAACAGGTAGCAAAGGTAAGGCACAGGCTCCCACATGCGCCTTGGAGGTCCTGGGAAAGGCCTGCTCGTTCCCTACTATCCAGAGGAGCAAGCTGATTATTCAGTGGGGAAAGAAGAGGGGAGCTAGAGAACTGGGTTCCAGCCTGGCCTCGGCCTCTTACCCACAACCTCATGGACCAGCCCAGACTGTTACTGGGAGCCTCATTTTCCCACAAGTCCTCCCTCAGGGTATCTGGCAAGATAGAGTCAGAAAACATCAACAGACAATGATGACGCGGCAAAGACACAACACTCAGGGAATACTTGATCTCCCTGAGACTAGCAAGTCAGAGATGTGATGCCCCACAGTAAAAGTCAGAGATGTAATGCCCCACAGTAAAAGTCTCTTCCGGCTTAGCTTTCACCCAGCAAAACGACGAGCTAGTGCCGAGTGTGCCAGGGCCCCTGTACCTGCTGATGTGGAAGCTGAAATCGCCTCGGATGGTGCCAGGGGCAGCCTCGGCAGAGTCCGTGTGCCCTATCATGGCCCTTGAGGTGCAGACCACATTGGGGCCTTCCCAGACCTGCAGCAAGGAGATAAGGTCAGGAGAAGTGGGGATCACCGAGGGCTCAGCAGCCCGAGGCTCCATCCAGGGCCCCCCACCCCTTCCACCAGGCCATACATACCATGGCCACCACGGGGCCAGAGCTCATGTAGCTGATGAGGGCTGGGTAGAAGGGCTTCCTCCGAAGGTCGTGGTAGTGCTCAGCGAGGACGTTCTCTGGCGCCTGGGTGGCATTGGGAGGAGTGAGAGGAGCCCCTGGAGAGGGAACCCCAGTAGACACTGGGGCAATGACTTTGCAGATAATGCCTACATGAGCCGGCATGTCGAGCACAGCAGTGCAGGAGATACCACCAACTCCACCTCTCCTTCCCTCCCCTTCTGCTTCCAACAGGACGCTCCTCCTGGAGCAGGGCCGACAGGAAGGGCTGAGGTCCTGAGGTCCATAAAAAGCCCTCCCCCTGGTGCACGGAGGGACACCCACAGGCCAAGAGCCCTGGTACCTGAAGCATCTTCATCCCCACCAGCTTGAAGCCCCTCCTCTCAAAACGCCGGATCACATCCCCAACAAGCCGCCGCTGCACCCCGTCCGGCTTCACGGCCACCAGGGTCCGCTCCCGGCTCCCGAAGGGCCCTCCTTTAGAAGAGGAGGGTTCAGGGATGCTGCCTCACCTTTCATGTCTCCTGACTGGGTTCCCCAGCCCGGGTGTCACCTGGGGCTACAGTGTCTGCCTCCGCCAGAGCGGCTCTGGAGGGGGATAATGTGGTGCCCACAGCCAGGAACTGCCCTGCCTGTCAGGGATAATCAGGGCACTGGATTCCTGGGAGCTTCCAACCTGTTGGAGGGGCCAGAGCTCCCTCCCGGGCAGTAGCAGAGGCCTCTTATGATGGAGCTGGTGTCCCCCGAGAGCCAGGAGACCCAGGGATGACTCACTGGAAAGAAAGCATGACTCTTGGCCTCACTTTTGACTCCTGTCCTTGGGGGCGATAGCACAGGCACGGCCGCAGCACCAAGGACCAGAGCCCATCTTCTGGGTCTGAGGTGAAAAAAGATGGCAGAGCGCCAAGGGGAAAGGCAGTAGTATATCCTCCCCACCGGGTAGCCAGACACCAGGCCAAGTGGCACCTGGGGATGGAGGAGGGAGAGGGGTTCCTGTCTGCAGGTGAGGAAGCCTGGAGGACTTCTCCTCCACCTTCCTGGCCAGGCAGGAACTCTGTGTTGCTGTGAGGTTTTGAGGTGGGGAGCTTCCAGGCCCAAGGAGAGCACTGAGCCCGGCCCAGCACCGCTAAGAAATGGGAGGCTGCATTACCATCCCACAGCCCAACCCGCTTCTGAGTGATGCAAACCCACAGCACTGGATCCAGGCTCAATTGTGCTCTTTAAACGGGTGGAAAAATGAGAAGAAGACTGGAGCCAGCCAGCGTCCCAGGGGGCATCTGCAGCTGCCATTCCGCATCCCCAGAAGGAAAATTAGCCCAAACCTGCCTGTGGGTGGCCTGCTCGCTCATCCCTCCAGGGCCAAATGAGGCCCACCAGGGACAGAAGTCCCCCGACTAGTTTGTTTTCCCCAAATCCGGTGCCTAGGGGCCTGCTGTCTACCCGGGCCTTGGAAGATGGCAGCGCACTCTTGCCAGTGCTGGAGCACCAAGACATCTGGCTCTCAGGGGAGAGGACCGCGTACAGATAAGGGCCCCAGGGCCCCAAAGAGGTGCGGGCAGGCGGACTTAGGGCCTAGAGAAAACACCGCAGCGGCTCCGAGGGAGGAGTTCTCATCTGCGGAGTGACTTCCCGCTCAGGAGCCCAGCTCCGCGGGCACCACCCTAGGCTTCTCTCTGGCTTTCTTCTGCTCCAGGGTCCCTGGGTCCCTCTGCCCCAGGCAACCGGGGGAGGTGGGGGCAGGGGTTGGAGAGCAATGAGCAGCAGTGTGTGTGGGTTTGGGGTTGGGGGGGGTGCAGGACCCCGGTCCGTCCCCGCAGACACCCAAGGAGCGCGCCTTCCGGGACTTCGATCGCCCCCACCCCCACCCCCACCCTACCCCCCTCCCCCCCCGCACCCGCTTGACTTCCCAGCGAGTCCGGAGGACTGCGGGGTTTAGGCCCCCAGCCGGTGCGCCCACCCGGGCTAGGAGGCGCCTCCTGCCACCCCCTCCCCCGACTCACCCGAGCAGGGGCGCGCGAGCAGGCCGGGGACCCAGGCTCGCGAGCCGCACAGCAGCGCGCCACCCAACAGGCCGCTCATGGCGCCAGGCCGCGGGCGCCGCCGAAACCGGAGCGAGTGCGCGGGATTCTAACGCTCCGGCGAGGGAGAGAGGGAGGAGGAGCGGAGGAGGGCGGAGGGGAGAGGAAAGGGGGGCGGAGGGGTGGGGTGGGGGGAGACAGGAGGGGCGGAGGGAGAGAGGAAGGACAGGGTGGACGGCCTGGAGAAGTGCGTGCCTCCTCCCCATCTGTCCCCGCCCCTTCCCCTGCTCGGTCTCCATCCCCGACTGTTCTCCACTTATCCACTCGGAGGGCCCAAGGGAAAAATACGTCAATTTCTGTTAAAATCAGAAGGAAAAAAAAATCGATAATAATAGGAACTCAATGTGGAGCATATTTGTTTTCTCGTACCAACGCAGTCATTAAATATTGACAACCAAGAAGCTGTATATATTTAATGCGTAGGATTTGGAGATGAGTATATAAATGTGAAACCATCACAATATATGCCATAAATATATCCATCATCTCCAAAAGTTTTCTCCCACACTTTTTTTTTAATTGGTTTGTATATATATATATTTTTATTTTTTTATTTATTTTTATTTTTTTATTTTTAAAATATATTTTATTGATTTTGTACAGAGAGGAAGGGAGAGAGATAGCAAATTAGAAACATCGATGAGAGTCATCGACCAACTGCCTCTTGCACACCCCCCACCGGGGATGTGCCCGCAATCACGGTACATGCCCTTGACCAGAATCGAACCCGGGACCCTTCAGTCCCCAAGCCGATGCTCTATCCATTGAGCCAAACCGATTTCGGCTCCCACACTCTTTATTATTTTTATTATTGTTGTTGTGTGTCTCTGTTAAGACAATATAAGATCTATCTTGTTAGCATTTTTTTGTCATTCAGATTGGCTGATCACTCCTGGGTCTTTTATCTAAAAAATGTATTTATTCATTTAATTTTTTATTCTTTAGAGGAAGGAAGAGAAAGACAGAGAGAGAAACATCAATGTGAGACATATATCAAAGAGTTGCCTTACCTATGCTGGGGATCAGGAATGGAACCCAAAACCTATGGGCCCTGACTGGAAACCGCACCTGCAACCTTCAGGTGCACAGACAATACTCCATCCACTGAGCCACATCTGCCAGGGCTTTATCTTCATTATTTTTTCTTCCAGGTATTATGAATATTGCAAATTCAATATCTTTTTTAAATATATATATATTTTAAAAAATATATATATTTTATTGATTTTTTATAGAGAGGAAGAAAGAGGGGATAGTGAGTTAGAAACATTGATGAGAGAGAATCATCGATCAGCTGCTTCTTGCACACCCCCTACTGGGGATGTGCCCGCAACCAAGGTACATGCCCTTGACCGGAATCGAACCCAGGACCCTTCAGTCCCCAGGCTGATGCTCTATCCATTGAGCCAAACCGGTTTTGGCTTTTTTTTTTTTTTTTTTTTTTTTTTTTTTTTTTTTTAATATATTTTATTGATTTTACACAGAGAGGAATTGAGAGGGACAGAGAGTTAGAAACGTCGATGAGAGAGAAACATCGACCAGCTGCCTCTTGCACACCCCCTACTGGGGATGTGCCCGCAACCAAGGTACATGCCCTTGCCCGGAATCGAACCCGGGACCTTTCAGTCCGCAGGCCGACGCTCTATCCACTGAGCCAAACCGGTCCCGGCCGGTTTTGGCTTTTTAAAATATATTTTTATTGATTTTTTACAGAGAGGAAAAGAGGGATAGAGAGTTAGATACATTGATCAACTGCCTCCTGCACAACTCCCACTGGGGATGTGTCTGCAACCAAGGTACATGTCCTTGACCAGAATCGAACCTGGGACCTTTCAATCCGCAGGCCGACACTCTATCCATCGAGCCATACTGGTTTCGGCACAAATTCAATTTCTTTATTAGTAACAAGGGTATTCAAATTATCCATTTTATATTGGGTATGATTTGATAGTTTGTGTGGGGGTTTTTAAAAAATATATTTTATTGATATTTTACAGAGAGGAAGAGAGAGGGATAGAGAGTTAGAAACATCGATGAGGGAGAATCATTGATCAACTGCCTCTTGCACACTCACTACTGGGGATGTGTCTGCAACCAAGGTACATGCCCTTGACCAGAATTGAACCTGGGACCTTTCAGTCCGCAGGCCGATGCTCTATCCACTGAGCCAAACTGGTTTTGGCTTTTTTTTTTTTAATAGAGGTATTATTTTCATATGACATTATATTAGTTTCAAGTATGCAACATAATCCTATATAATAAAAGAGCAATATGCAGATTGACCATCACTCCAGCACACAAGATCAAGATAGCTGCCCCCATATGGCCAAAGATCCTGCCCCCATGTGGACACAAGATGGCCACCACAAGATGGCCAGCAGGAGAGGGCAGTTGGTAGGGACCAGGCCTGGAAGGAAGAGCAGTTGGGGGAGATCAAGCCTGCAGGGGAGGGCAGTTAGGGGTGACCAGGCTGGCAGAGGAGGGAAGTTGGGAACAAATAGACTGGCAGGGGAGCAGTTAGACATCAATCAGGTTGGCAGGGAAGTGGATAGGGGATAATCAGGCTGGCAGGCAGAGTGGTTAGGGGCAGGCAGGTGAGCAGTTGGGAGCCAGTAGTCCTGGACTGTGAGAGGGATCTGAGATGGGAGAGGGGGCAGGCTGGGCCAAGGGAAACCCCCCCACCCATGCACAAAGTTTGTGCACCAAGCCTCTAGTCATTGAATATTTATGTATATTGCAAAATGATCACAAGTCTAGTTAACATTTATCACTACACATAATTATACTATTTTTATTATTTGTGATGAGACTTAAGATTTACTTTCTTAGCAACTTTCAAATATGCAATACAGTGTTATTTACTATAGTCACCATCCTGTACACTACATCCCCCATGACTTATTACTTCATAATTGGATGTTTGTGCCATTTGGCCACCTTCACCCATTTCATTTACCCCCTCACTCCCTGCTGCATCAACCACCAATCTGTTTTTTGTAGCTATGAAATTGAGGTTTGTTTTTGTTTGTTTTTAGGTTTACATATAAGTGAGATCACATGATATTTGTCTTAAATGTCTGGCTTATCGTCATTCTTTTTTTTTTAATGTATTTTATTAATTTTTTACAGAGAGGAAGGGAGAGAGGCACAGAGAGCTAGAAACATCGATGAGAGAGAGACATCAACCAGCTGCCTCCTGCACACGCCCCACTGGGGATGTGCCCACAACCAAAGCATATGCCCTTGACCGGAATCAAACCTGGGATCCTTCAGTCCACAGACTGACGCTCTATCCACTGAGCCAAACCGGTTTTGGCAATCGTCATTCTTTTTTCTCTCTATTTTTTCCATTTATTTTTAGAGAGAGTGAAAGGGAAGGGGGAGAGAGAAGAGAGAACCATAGATGTGAGACAGAGGCAGAGATGGATTGGTTGCTCTGACTGAGACTGGGGGTGGACCTACAATCTGCAACCCAGTATGTATCTTTGGCTGGAATTGAACCCAAGACCCTCCAGTATGCAGGCAGAAGTTCTAATCACTGAGTACACCAGCCAGGGTTTGTCTTCATTTTTTTTTTTTTTATTGATTTCAGAGAGGAAAGGAGAGAGAGAGAGAGAGAGAGATAGAAATATCAATAATGAGAGGGAATCATTGATTGGCTGCCTTCTGCCCTCCTGCACAACCCCTACTGGGGTTGGAGCCCACATCCCAGGCATGTGCCCTTGACGGGAATCGAACCTGGGACCCTTCAGTCCACAGGTGGACGCTTTATCCACTGAGCCAAACCGACAAGGACTGTTTTCATTCTTAAAGAATTATTTTTTGGATATAGAATCATGGATTGACAGGAGTTTGTTTTTTATTCCAGCCATTTAAAGATGACATTTCAGCCCTGGTTGAGTGGCTGTTGGTTGGAGTCTCTTCCTGTATACCAAAAGGTTTCCAGTTCAATTCCCAGTCAAAGCATATATCTAGATTTTAAAAAAATATATTTTATTGATTTTTTTACAGAGAAGAAAGGAGAGATATACAGAGTTAAAAACATTGATAAGAGTCATCAATCAGCTGCCTCTTGAACTGGGGGTGTGCCCGCAACCAAGGTACATGCCCTTGACCGGAATTGAACCGGGGACCCTTCAGTCCGCAGGCTGACGCTCTATCCACTGCGCCAAACAGGTTTCGGCTATGTCTAGGTTTTAGTTCAGGATGAACCATGGTTGGGGAATGGAGGTAACCAATTGATGTTTCTCACATTGATGTTTCTCTCTCTCCCTTCCTTTGTCTAACAATAAATAAATAAGAAAAAAAAATCAAGTCCTGGCTGGTGTGGCTCAGCTGGTTGGAGCACCATCCTGTGAACTAAAAAGTGGCAGGGAGCAGGTTTGATGCCAAGTCAGGGCACATTCTAGGATTGTGAGCTCAATTCCCAGTAGGGGGCAGCCGATCAATGTTTCTATCTCCATCTACCTTTGTCTCTCTCTCTCTCTCTTTTTTTTTAAATGTAAACTTGCATTTTAAAAAATCATTTTTCTTTTTCCCCACATTGTTTTTCTTTTATTTAATTTATTGGTGACACTTGTTAACAAAATTGCACAGGTTTCAGGTGCGCAGTGTACATCACATGTACACAACCTTCGTCTCTTTTTAAGGTCAATAGAAACTTGAATTTTAAAAAGAGGGGATAAATAAGAACTACTTGCTGAACTTTAAAAAACAAAACTAGTCTTTAGCCTTCACCGGTTTGGCTGTTTGGCTCAGTGGATAGAGAATCGGCCTCTGGACTAAAGGGTCCCAGGATTGATTCCAGTTAAGGGCACATGCTAAGCCCACTGGGGTGCAGCCAGTCAATGATTCTCATCAATGATGGCACATGTAGCCAGTCAATGATTCTCTCTCATCAATGATGTTTCTATCTCTCTAATAATTCCCTTCCTCTCTGAAATCAATTATATATATATATTTAAAAAATAAATTAAGTGGAACAACAAATTGATGTTTCTA